CCAAAATTGATTACCAGAGCTAATGTTTCCTTGGCTTTCCCCAATCTGCCTTCTAGGCATATTGAATTTTAATTCCCATTATTCCTAGCTAGTGTAGCCAAAAGGACAATGGTAGCCAAGCTCTAATTTTTCTGTAGGGTAATATTTCTGAAGTTAGGGGAAATTGCCATTGTTTCTACTGTTTTGAGGCATAATAGCTTTGATTTTGCCTCAGGCATGGACTACATTCCCTGGCAGCTGAGCAATGCTTTTTGCCAAGAAAGCAGGTTGCTTCAAATGAGATGTGCTACAACTGCAGTCATAATCACCAGGTAGTTCTAATAGCTATCACAAAAGCTATGTATAATAGCCACTGGTGACAGCTCCCTGGGAAAAAGTTATTCCAGTTATTAATTATAATAATTATTAAGGACCATAAGCTTTTAACTCTGAGGAAAAAACAGAAACAAAGATTACAGTCATTTTAAATATTGCTGATCAGAAAAAGGAAATCTAAGAGAATATAGCCATTATTGGGTGAAATGCAGAAAGTATGAGTACCAAAGCAGTTTTTAAGTACGGTACCTTTGCTTATTAAAAAAATAGAATCAAGAAAGTAATCACACTAAAACGAGTAATAAACTATCAAATGGACAGTATCATTGTATTCATGCTCTGCTTATGAGATTGCCATACATTTCTTGGCTTGTGTTTTTTGTCACAGAAGGAAACAAGATGCTAGGCTAGAAAGGTTTTGATTGATCCAGCAAGACTTTTACGTTCAACGGAAAAGCAGAAAATAAAGGGCTAGAATCCAGTCATCCTACAGGAATGCTCCAATCATGCACCAAGAGACAACAGGGCAATTCATGGGAAGGGATCTATAGCTTGATAGGAGCTTTACTTGAGACTTTACCTACCACTACAGGATAATAAATCCAACAATCTTAGCTGTGTAGCTCAATGCAAAACTGCATCAATATGATTTAGTATGTAGAAGATGGGTTCAGGATCCCAACACCAAGAGACCCAAAGTTCAAAACTTCCTCAACAATGAAGTGCAAAGGGTGACTATACAGTTTTGGAATGGCTACTGAACAGGTGGTGGTGGTAAGTTGTTCTGCCCCACGGCCCTCAGATTCTGTTTCTCATTTGCATGCCTAAATTTGAGATGTTTTATGAGGAGCTTCAGATTCAACAGCCATCTATATATGAGGGACATTCAGCTTTATTTTCTTTTTTCTCTAATTAATTCCAGGGAAACATTAGACAGATGTCTGAAAACAATTTTGAGGTTGATGTGATCAGAGGCACAGTCCAGATAATAGAAGTCTTGTAATAGGGGAAATCTGAAGGAACAAAACTGATATGGGATGCAATTACATCAGGTATACAAGGTTTCCGTGTGCTCTGTACTATCTGTGGGAGCCCAGATGCCCTTATTAATCAGGAATCTTCCTTAGCAGATTCAATTAATTCATTGCTGTACCTTACTTGGATATCCTGAACAACAGACTCAAAGTAGAGAAACGGGCCATTTTGCTAATCATAAAACATTTCCCAAATGGAAACCTTTTATGGACTTTTTGCTGAGAACATAAAAAACCCTGGAAAGTATGGATTTGATTATTAGAAAGAGTAAAGTATGGGAAGAAGGGAATTATGATGTAATCTTAAAGAGGAAATATAGATGATAGATGCATTTGTAACCACTGTAAAGAAAATTGGAAGCTGCTATTATTCTTGTGTAAAAGTCTTCAATAAAAATTAATTTAAAAATGCTTTGTCAAAATGAAGATAATTATGTTTACCATTTTTCACAGTCCACAAAAAATATATCCAGTAATAATGGAAACAGTGTCAGGTAACTCCAACAATTCTATTAATCACTGTAGTGTTTTCACAATGCTTTATCGCAGTGGTTCTCAACCTGTGGGTCAGGACCCCATTTGGGGTCAATCGAACATTTCATGGGGGTCGCCAAGCAAGGCTGTCCACCATTTTTTTTGTCCGCCATTTTTTTTGTCCGCCATTTTTTCCCCTTTTCCGGCGGGTGCCTTACCTCCCTTGGGCTGGGCCAGCTGGTGGTCAGCCTGCTCCGTCTCTGCCGCTTGCCACCTACGCCTCGGCCGGCGCAGGGGGTGGAACCACGCATGCGCGGCGCTCCCGGGCAGGGAAAGTCCTTGACTTACGACCGGTTGGGTAGTCCTCGACTTACGACCGGTTTAGTCCTCGACTTACGACCGGTTTAGTCCTCGACTTATGACCGGTTGGGGTCGCGGCATTAAAAAGGTTGAGAACCACTGCTTTATCGCCAATCATTTTGTGTCTGGCTCTGGAGACTTCCCAAGTGCTGTCAAACTGTGATTCACCAAATCTCTTCCTCACGTCCTGAAGAGAGGTGGTTTATTCTTTTCCTCTTCTTATATGTGTCTTTTTGATTTTCAGCACCTTGTGTTTTTTTGTGTGTGCAATTAGATTGGTTTCTGCTATCTTCTGCTATTTTTGTCATCACAAAATTTTGCTGTGTTTTTGGCTGTTAAATTATTTGCTATTGTGCATTTAGTACTTTTTTTTTTTTACAAATTCCCATACATCTTGAGATCTTTTCTCCAGTGGTGTCTCCTGCCATGGGGTCCTATCTGTGCTTGAAGTTCAAGATATACATCTAACTATACTCAGTTTAAAAAAAAAAACATTAGTTACTAACAGAGTAACAGAATTGGAAGGGAACTTGAAGATCTTCTAATCAACCTCTGTTCAAGCAGGAGACCCTATATCATTTCAGACTAATGGCTGTCCATTTTTCTTAAAAGTCCCACTATTTTTATTTTCTAGTCTACTTGTTGGGAGCAAGTCAAGAACAACTGGTCCCTTTATGCCTTTCTCCATCTCTGAAGGAAAAAAAATCAAGGAACCAACTCAGGAACTTATCGGACAGCCCATTCTTGGCAATGTTTTTTTTTTTCACCCAGAAAATCCTGGGGCAGTTAAGTGGCTTTAAGGCCCCATTATAATTCTAGTATACAGTATGTTATATCTGAAATATTTAGCTCTGACTTTCAGTTTAAATTCTTTCTGATCATTTGACCAAATATATTCTCCCCAGTCCTTGTGAGATGCAATCTGGTTATATAAAGTTTAACTGCTATAATGTTGTTTGTAGAACTTATTTTAAAGACAATTCAGGACCAAATTCCACTGTTTGCTTGCTCTGAAGATCAAATTATACTGTATAACACAAATTTTGCACCATCTGCATGGCTATATTTCTGAAGCCAAGTAAAGTACAACTTATTTATTTTTGTTTACTGGGCTTACATCCTGCTCTGGACATAATAAATTTGAGTGGCCTTTAAAAATTAAATTTAAAACTTAAGTACTTTTAAGCATAGCTTGGGATTAGGTTTTTTGAAGGACTGCCTGTACTAACAAGATCCTGTCTGGATCTAAGAAAAACAGTTAAAAACCTGCTCAGGGATCTTTTGGTGAGATCTTTTAGGTTAGTGGTCACAAGGACTCTTTCTGAACAGTTCCACCTCTGGCTAAGGATATGACTTTAAATGATTCTTTAAATGCCTTTATGTTCCCCTATAGTTTAATGACATTGGCTATCCATGTTCATTTTAAACTTCTTACCAATGCTTTAAAATTCTATGCAGCGGTTCAAGTTGTATTTGTATTTTGTGGTTCTAAGATTTTATATACTGCATTAAGAAGATTTTGCCAGGAACAGTAATACAAAAATATTTTTCATTACAAAAATATCAAGTTTATCTAGCAAAATGATGCTTGCGACAAATCTGATGTATCACAATTTAACCAGAGCTTCTGTATGTAGATAATATTAAGAGATCATAAGTTGCATGATTGATCAAAGTCTATACTGGAAAAGGTACTATGGACTCTTTATGGTGCTAGATTCTATTTTATATGTGTTCTCTACAGAGAGTTCCAAGCAAGTTCTTTTGATTCAGAGGCAATTTGGTAAATAAAGATAATAATAATGCTGATTACTTTACTTTGAAGCACGACAGCTTCCATTTTAATTTGATTTTTCAATTAATGAAAAAAATACTTTTATTAGATCTGGTAGGAAATATATAGCCTCATATTTCCAAAGTATCTTTAGGTGCACTGCAGTCCACTCTTTATCTGTAAGGGAGGTATCTTTGTTCTTATTTAGAAGAACAAAATATACCAATTAGTTCAAATTATAAGAATAGCAATTTCAAATAAGTACAGGTAGTCCTTGACTTACCACTACAACTGAGCCCAAAATTTCTGTTGCTAAACAAGACATTTGTTAAATGAGTTTTGTCCCATCTAATGACCTTTCTTGACACAGTTGTTAAGCAATTCACTGTAGTTGTTAAGTTACTAAAAAAGTTGTTTAGTGAATCTGGCTTCCCCATTGACTTTGCTTGTCAGAAGGTTGCAAAAAGTGATCACATGACACCAGAACACTGCAACCCTCATAAATATGAGTTAGTCGCCAAGTGTTTGAATTTTGATCATGTGACCTTGGGGATGCTGCAATGGTCATAAGTGTGAAAAACAGTCATAAGTCACTCTTTTCAATCCCACTATAATTTCGAATGGTCACTAAATGAACTGTTGTAAGTCAAGGACTACATATATTTAAAACAGCCAAGAATACAAACTGTTTAAATATCTCAGAGATCTCATGTATTTCAGTTTTTTAAGGACCATTTAAATAAAGGCCATCCATCAAGGATACTATAAAACTGAATTTTCTGCACTGACTGGGGATTGACTTTGTGAGTGTTAAAGTACCTTCTAACTCTACAATTTTACGCCCTACAAAAAATTAGCATCTTTTTTTTTTGTAAAGTCTGCATCCTTGACTGCTAACCAAACACTTTCATTTGCCAACAATGTGTGATAGTGATATGTGTTTAGATCTACACAATCCCCAGAGATGGCAAATATGAGAAGCAAAGATGACTGTTACACTATCCAGTAAAAATGTATTATAAACAAATCCTAATGCATCCATGTAGATTTTATAGTTTTATAGATAAATCAGAAACCCATACTTGATTATTTTGAATATTGTGTGAATAGTATACAGTACCACATAAAGTTACTCTGCACTTGAATACATCTGGTTTTTAAATAGATATTACAAAAAATTATTCCACACTTTGGAGAGCAGGCAATTTTTTTTCCATAAATGTGCCAAATTAACACTATTAATTAATAAACTATTGGAACAAGTGATTACAAAATACAAACAAGACTAATAATTATGCATTTATGAAGGCTGGCTCATACAATTTATACGATTAATCATCTAATCATAATTTATATGATTATATGATTACATAATTGATATGATGTCTAAGAATACAGCTTAAAATTCCTGATGTCTACTGGGTATAGTGGGTTACTTTAGAGCTTTCTTGCTTCAATTGGGAATATTAAAAGCTTAATAATTTTAATTTTAAAAAACCTATGTGAATAATAACTGTGTTACTGATTACAAATATTCTACATGGAGGGACCCATAACATAAACCAAAACTGTTTAAACTCACTTTTGGTATTTAAATGGCATATACTTTACAGTTATAATTTCACTGAATAAATAAAATGATATAATGGAACCACTAAGTCATCTTTTCTTCTAATATATAATTATCTTACAGTATGAAAAGATCTAAAAATCAGTCCCACGTCATGGAGCTGGATAGAAAAATAACAGCAGCCAACAAAACCTGTAAGTAGAATAGTAACATTTCAGCTATACATTTTTAAAGCATCAGTTAAAGTGGTTTTCTGCGAAGCTTCTTTTGTTCATAAATCTGAATAAAAAGAGACAATGTAAGTGTAGTTCTCACATAACTCCACTGAGTTATGAGGTCAGGGGACTTTGAGCTGGTGCAAAGTTCATTCCCATGGTAATTAAAAGCCAAAGTTAAGCCTATCTTTCTTGAGCACACTAACTCATGCCTGGACTCTCTCACAAGGAGGAAAATAACCATCTTCTTATCAAAATGAATGCAACCCAGAATTTAACAGGAAGAACTTGAAAATAATTTATCTGAGGACCGTTTACAAGGAAACCCTTTTCTTCAAAATCAGAGTTACTAATGCCAGTCAAAAGAATGATTAATCATTCTATAAAATTTTTCATTGTGCTCTCTGAAGTAGGAGTAAAGTTGCTCTAAGACAGTACTATTGACCACAGGATGTGGGCGCCCTTTTGATTCATGCAAACATCTCTCTCTTCCATCACTCCTAATGCAATAGAAGCCCTTGGTCTGGTTAAAATAAAAATTTGAAGACAAAATTTTGGAAGGCAGATTAAGGAATCTTTCCACTTTTTGCAATTCAGGAAGAGGGTCTCTGATCAAGGTATTCCCATCAACTATGTGAATCTGATCCAAGTGGAAATATTTAAGCCATCTCCCCATATGGATGTCATACAGGCTTCTCTGGATAGCCTTGTATTTGGTATTAAGGGCTCCGTTTTTTATAACAATGTCTTCAAAGGGCTGAACAGACTTGTGGTTTTCCAGTCTATTGTAATAGACTTGGGTGTAATCAGAGATAACTCTCTCTGTGGGGTCTCTTAGAATAAGCAGCAGTTTAATAGAGCTATTCATATCATGAATCCTTTCGGGAGCCTGTGGTGAGGTAAAATAGCCTGGTGTTTTCTCAATAGTTATTTGATTTTCATATGAAAATGGCATCAGGCTTCTATACCAGTCAATTCCTTTCACGTAATTTTCATCCCAGTCAAAAAAATGGACTTCGGTAGCTGCTACCACAATGTTTGGGTGAACATCCAACATTTCGAGTAAGGCCCTGGTCCCTCCTTTACGCACGCCAATGATAATTGTCTGAGGTATTTGTCTGCTTGTGCCAGGAGGTCTCACTTGTGCTAAATAGTGTTCACTCTTATTGCTGAGTAGGACTTGTGGCGTCAGCATCTCCACGAGAGCCCCATTTTCAACTGGAGCAGCCTGAGCAGGAGTCAGCAGAAGGTATGCTGACACTAGTAGAAAGGCCATGTGGAGAGGAAGGAGCAGTCAGTGCAAAATGCTGTTGTGCTTAGCTGATGAAACATGGAACTCGTTCCCCGTGGAGGAAGCAGATGTTGGAGCTGGGACCAAAGCAGCAGTGGAATTCTGAGGCATCTGCAGAGTTGGGAAAAGCAGAAGGACAATAAAGCTATTAGTAGTAGTATCCATTTGCGCCTCTTCTTCTTAGCCAAAGACTCAGATACAAAACCTCCTATATCTCTGAACAAAGTTAACAGGGGAAAACGGTAGAACTAATTAAGTTATTCATCTGCAAGGTTTCAAAGGAAATGAGATTTTAATTTTAATTCTGTTTCTAAACTGAGTCATTTAATGGAAAACAAGCCAATGCCTCATATTGTATCAGTCTCCCTCCTCCCCCCCCTCTCTCACACACACCTCAAGAAATAAGCACAACCAAATACCAACAGATATTATCAATTATTTATTGGGAATATATACATATATGAATACCCCTTACGTTACTCCTTTTTGGAGTAAGCAGTTCCGCAAAGCATAGAAAGGGTACAAGAAACATAAGAAAAAGAAATTAGAAGAGAAAAACAACGAGGAAAAAAATCTTATTAAACTTATTTACTGCAATACCATCAGCAATCCTTTTCTATCCTTGCAAACCATCATCCTTTCCACTATATTCATACACAATCTGAGCTAGCTTTCATGTTGTCAAAAGTGAACAACCTATTGTACACCAGACCGGTACCAAAGCCACAAACAGATATGTAAAATACATATCCCAATCAAAAGATAATTGTTTGTTGCTCTTCAAATAAAACCAGTAAGATAAACAGGTACAAGAAATCTAAATACACAAAGCTTGTACTTCATACCCAGCAGTCGCTCAAATTCTTTTAAGAATTCTTTAAAAAGTTCCTTAGCGCTTCTATAATAAAACTACCTTATAAAAAGTTCTTGGATCTTCTGTGCCTATTTAATTAGCCTGTTGGGAGAAGTCTGGCACAATACTTTTTTTCTTTTTCTTCTTTAAGCTTCCTACCTCTTTCTTACTGTGGATCTTATCAACTTCATCCAACCACAGTTTATTTAACTTCCCCTTCCTTTCCCATTCAACTCACTTCCTTTATTTTTGCTATGTTTGTTTTGCACTTTGATCCCCATTCAGTTATCTCTGTGTGATTCAAACACCACAATAGAATTCTTTCACACTGGTCTTTTTAGTCAAAAGCATATTCTTATATGTAGATATTTTCACATATTTTGAAGGAAAAAAAACATTCCCACAGGCCCCATTGTCTTTCTAACAGCATGTGTATGTCTTAAAATGTCTCCATTTTTAATAAATGTTCAGCTACTTGTTCTTGGTATTTAGGCATACATAATAATAAAACAAATTCTCACTTACTGAAAAATAGCTTGGCCTTCAATATATTAATTTCCAGATTCTTGCTCCTCAATCCATCATACAATCTATTTAACAGTCTCTACAAATCATTTGGGTTCTCTGCTCAACAACACAGCCTCCTCTGCATAAAATATACATAAACACTCATATTCCTGAATGATACACCTCTAATGCAATCCTTATGCATCCTATCTATTTATCTATTTATCTGTCTGTCTGTCTATCTATTTTTATCACAACTAAACAGACATATATATAGCATTCCAAGCATTCCATTTACCAAGCATTCCATTTATTTCTACATATGCTTTCCTTTCATTTTACTGCCATTTTCACATTCTACAATCAATGTAGAATGTGAAACTCTATATTGGTACAAAATAGTCAATACTCAGGCTATATCTTGTGACTCTTTTAAGTAAACAGATGCCCATTAAACTTTCTTTTTAGCAGTCATATATTTTCTAACAAGTCTTGAAGACAAAAACTCTTGAGTGCACCTTCTGCTCAGCATAAAGCCACAATACTTGTGGGTCGGAAATACATTTACTAAACAAACAAAGAAATAATACAAATTGCCCATGATTCCTTTTGCATTATTATAAATTTCAACAGACATAATAAACTTAATAAACTAATGTCCTTATTTTCTTTTGCATTTAGTTTTGTGGTACCTTTCCATTTTTATAGGGGAACAATAATAGAATTCTTCCAATTATCAGGCAGAGGTACAGTCTTTACATGCCAAACAATTGTAGAACTACTTTGCAAGTATACCAAATCTCAAGTTGTATATTACACTTGCGGCTTTGCCATTTTTTTTCAAGATCATGAGAGAAGTTATGATTTCAACATTTTTTCTTGTTTATTAATGTTGTAATAATGTCAGTCCACTTTTGACATACCATTGCTACTCCCAAACATCTTACACTTCCCATTAATATATGTGCAACATATTTCTGTGATATTTTGTACCATAATCCCTCTGTTCTGAGTAGCTTCCATATTCTATGGTGGTGGCGCAGTGGTTAGAATGCAGTACTGCAGGCTAATTCAATGCTCACTCCAGAAGTTTGATTCTAAACGGCTCAAGATTGACTCATCCTTCCAAGGTCAATAAAATGAGGACCCAGATTGTTGGGGGCAATATGCTGATTCCGTAAATCGCTTAGAGAGGGCTGTAAAGCACTGTAAAGCGGTATATAAATCTACGTGCTATTGTTATTTCCTTGCGTTGCCTTTCCATTCATTCTATTGGAAAAACAGTCTATCTCCTGATACATTTGCATACTGTGCAGGATTTATATATTTGTATATTCTCTTTCTATGGTTCTTCTACTTGTATGCTTGTTTCTTTTTCTTTTTTCTTCTATGTCTATTTTTCCCCCAAGATCTTGATATTACAAATAACAATGTGTTGGTCATCCAGAAAATCTCATCCCCTTTGAATTTTACATTTACTTTCTGAATCTTGATCGTTATACTTTTCAGTTCATTCTGCCACAGATAACCATGTAAACTATGTACTTAAGCTACAGGCTTTTCCTAAGCAGATACTAGTCACCAAGACTCCTGATACACAAGACATGATCAAGAATTCTCAGCTTAACAATGTAATACTTTTTAGGCACATACGGACCTGTATAATCTTCCTTTCTAATTAAAGGGCTTTTCACTTTTCAGAATGAATTTTTATCGTGATAGTTTTGAAAGCATCGTGTGGCACGAGGGGATGATTGCTCTTCAAATTAAATGTTTTGTTACAAAGAAACAAGTTATGTTGTTCTTTGCATCCCACCAAGAATTTGCAAATGCATTGTTTATATAATTGATCATAATCTTGGGGCATATGAATCTTTCATAGATTCATTTGTTTTCTAATTGTATCATTATTTTATTGTACTGTCAATTGTGGGTCTGTTTGATTGTGTTTTATGCTTTTGCAGATCTTGTGAGTTTGACTTGTAAAGTTAGGAACATCTTGAATATCAAGAAACAGTTTTTAAGTTATTTAGCTCTGCCTCTCTGTTCATTTCTTCTATTATTTTCAACCTCTGTGATCATTAAAGTTAACACTACAAGTGAAGATCAATGGATCTAAGCCCCCTGGGAGAATATAATTATTACTGGTTTTGCACGTAGGTAGTTTGTAGAAGTTTCTTCATGAGTTAGGTCACAGGCTCAGAGAATAAGCCCTATTCAAGATGTCAACCCAGAGAATCCCTCATCTATTATTTGGGGAAGGTTGCATTTTCAATTTCAAGTAGGTCACGTTGAAATTGAAGCTCTGTTGATGGTGTGAAGCAAACAACAAAATAGCAGTAGGTAAAAGTTAACTTGTTTTCAACCACCTGAACAATAGTGTATAGATAATGTCAACTTGTCAAAAAGGGAACCTTTTGTTAGTGCAGCTTGAAAAATGTGATTATTTATGGAAAAATAAAGGGCATATTTGAAATGAAACAGAAGTTGTGTACCTGTATATGTATGAGCATTTTAAATGACAATTTTCTAAAGAAGGATGAAAATGTTCCTGAAAAAAAATGTTCAGGCATTGACTTTAACTATAAATAAGATCTAATATCAGGATGATTCACAAGTTTTAATTAAGAAAACATAGTTACATATAAGGAAACAGTTCCTTTTCAACATATGGCATTAGGGAAACAACCAGTTATTTAAATCGTTATTTTTTACTACAATAAATAATATTTTAATTTCAGTAAATAGGACTTAACTTGCCTTTTAGCAATTGAAAGAATTACATTACTATGAATGTTAATATAAAATGTTGTCCAGTCATCATAAGAAAGTACAGAGAGTTGACTTGCAAACACTATATAATTATTCTTTAAAATAAGACTTGATTTTTACTAAAATGTCTCTTTACACGCACCCAAAGCTTTGATGTGATGAAGTCACAAAACTGTTGTTGCATACAAAGTGGACATAAAAAGAAATCATAATGAGACTAAAAACAATTTAGACAATATAAATGAGCAAATCTCCAAATTAAATCTACAACTAGAAAGTTCCCAGATAATGACTACCAAGTATGAACAAATAAACCAGAAATCAAAAGACGAAACAGAGGAAATGGATTTAGAGATTGAAGAGATAAAAGAAGGGAAATATAAACCACTATATACAAACAAATTACTGCAAGACTTAGCTATAACAATGAAAACGCAAAAGACCCTTTACCCCTTAGGTCTGCAAAATGTATCTGATGGCAAGGAAGAAGGTTTTAAAAAATGGAATATAGAGCTGTTAGGGGAAATGTCACAACTTGGGAGACAGGGAATAAAAAAAGAAATTGAGGAAAAAAAGGAACTGGGAGTTGTTTAATGAATATAAATGAGAGGAATTCCCCCAAAAAAATACCCTACCTAAATTGTCTTCCTCATGCCAAGCAATTTTCACAAAAATAGAAAGAAAATTCCTGGGATATCTAATTGCCCTGGCCTGGAAAGCTACTTGGCAAAGAAAGAAAGTGAGAGTCAGATTTAAAAAACAGAAGATTTGTCCTTTTAGAGGGGACATTATATGTTTAAATACTTGTTTAAATAAGATTAAAAGAACAGATGACCCTTAGATATAATTAGACTTTTATAATGAAAGATATGATTTAGAACTAAAATAGCATTTTTTTTTCTTTTGATAAGGGAAATAAGAAAATCAAACCTTAACAAGAGCATGAAAAAGAGGATATTGACTTATTAATTGACATTAT